AGTAGCAATCTGAAAGTTTAACCTTGCATTTTCCCTGGGCTTCTTGAGTTTAGGGTTTAGGGTTTAGTGTTTAGGGTTTTAGGGTTTAGGGTTTAGGGTTTAGGGTTCTGGGCTTCTTGGGGAAGTACGTATCTTAGGGCAGATTCTGTACGGGAGGTCAAACTCCAAGTAGCTTAGGGCTTGGAAAGATCATACCTACATCAGGTCTCAGGGTTGGTTAGCAGTACCTACTTGACTGGGGTTTGGGGTTTAGGGTTTTAGGGTTTTAGGGTCCCTTAGGGTTTAGGGTTTAGGCTTTAGGGTCCCTAAACCATTCTGTTGCGAGGCTGCTGTCATGCAAAGCAAGGCAGCGGAACTGGCCGTGGCATCCTCGGCTTCCGGGGCTTCTTTCATCCGTAAACGCTTTCTCTCCCTATGCTAAAATCAGAGCCTGAAATAACTACAAAGAATTTTTTTTGGGGTGGGGTTCCTTACTATAGCTATAGTATAATATACACCAAAACCCCTATTCGAATTATTAAGGCACCTACAGTACTTTATGACTTTATCCCCCGAAGCCACACTCTAGGTTGTTTAGGCTTCCATGTTGCAGGAGGCACTGCAATAGGGCCCCTTATTCTTAATATACTATAAGATACCCATAGGTTTCCAGGAGGAAGCGTAGAAAGAACGGCGGCGTGTGCGGGCTCAAAGAAGCTTCCGATCAGCTTGAAGGGGACTTGAACACATGGCATAAGTCCCGGGAACGTACGGTTTAGGTTTAGGGTCAAAGCTTAGGGTTCCGGGTTCAGGGGAACTTACAGATTACAGTTTCAAGCGTAGGGCCAAAGCTTTGGGTTCAGGGTTTAGTGCCGAAGCTTAGGGTCGGTTTAGGGCCAAAGCTTAGGGTTTAGGGTTTAGGGTTAGGGCGGGGACGAGAGATGGAGTGAGGAAGGTCGGAGCAGGACCTTATCGGCCTAAACTGAGAAGGAGAGCGAATACAGAAGCGAGTCCAGCCTGAAACCCAAATCCCTAAATGCACGAACTTCAGGTCCTCTAAGCCTGAAGCCCAAAATCGGACTTACATAATTATCTATACTATTCGGGGGGTGTTCCTTCTATGATTATAGTATAGTGGGCTTGGGCTTCAAAACCGTATTCTAACTATTAAGGCCCCGATATTACATTAGTATCGTCTTCGTCCGTAAAAGCCTTAACCCCCAAACCTCTAAGCCTCTAAACCCCTAAACCCCTAAACCCCTAAACCTCTAAACCTCTAAACCCCTAAACCCCTAAACCCCTAAACCCTAAACCCCTAAACCTTAAGCATGAGTCCTCAGAGCCTTCACATGAAGACCCACGCCGAGGCCCAACGAGAGTCAGAGCGGCTCAAGGCGGAGAACACCGCGCTGGAGCGGGACGTCGTGGATTTGGCCAGGCTCGCTGGGTGGGCCTATGCCCGAGGTCATCTAAATTCAGGTCCTTTTTGATAGGTCCCCGAAATAGTACGGTACCCCCCCCTAAACCCTAAACCCTTATAGCAAGGACCCTTAAACGGACCCAAATTTCGCGAATTGCTCATCTACCCAAACACCGAAGTCCTCGACCTTCTCAACTGCCCCTAAACCCGAAGCCTCAAGTGCCCTAAAACCTAAACCCTAAACCCCTAAATTTAAACCCTAAAC